CCAGACCTGGCACATCCTGCACACCCATGGCTCTGTCTGGGGAACTCTGCCCTCCTAAGGCTGGTTTGGCTGGGTTTTGCCTGGGTTTGCGTTTCTCTGGCTCCTGTTTGGGAGCTGTCCCAAGCAGGGATTTATGGATCTCCTGGAAAGGGATCAGAGCAGTTCAGGAGGAGGGATCATGGCTCACCTGCTGGGACACTCCATGGCAGGGACAGGTGACACCATCTCGTGCTCCTGCTTTTGGGCAGGTGGCCTGTGGGGTGAACTGCATGCTTGGTCCAGGGAACAGGGGCCCAAAATCCTGGCCCAACCCCACTGCAGTCTGCAGAGAGCCTTGGAGCTGAGGGATACCAAACTGACTGCTGTTTTCTAATACTGTGCTTATGGGGAGATGAGAATTTATAGCATTGAGAAGGAATTCATAAGAGAAATGATATAAACTCCAAGGCCTCCAGGTGTACAGCAGGCTCAAAATTACAGCTTCAGGAAGGGATGCTCTGACACAGCTTCCTGTCTGGTGTGTAGTCCTTGAGACTGCCTCTGAGTAAGGGCTGCTTCTGTAGGCAGCTGTAGATCATGACTGGGGCAGCTCCCACAGGGCACTGCTGGAGGGTGCAGTGATGAACTGCCTCCTGTCCCACCCTGTAACTGATGGCTTCCTGCCCAAAAGGCTTCTTTGCAGGCTAATCTGAGTGCCACAAGTGCCCTGAACTTCCCACTGAGGGCAAGGAGGGATGGAGGTGTAGAATTCTTTCTCAGTCCTTTTGATGCGGCTTGCCCATTCAGGTGTAATTAAGGATTCACTGGGATGTGGAAGGATTGGGAGGATAATTCTGACACTGTCCCTTGGGAAAGCAGCTCAGAGGTTGGAATTTGTCCCCCAGTGAATATTGAATGGAGGAAAGCCTGAAGTGCCTCTTGACACCTTGGCTGCAGCTGTGAAACTGTGTTACTCACAGGGAAAGCTGGAGTTTGCCTTCTTACTGATGACAGGGAACAGTTTTTCTCTCCACATGCTGCTCATATTTGTTTACACTGGGAATAAATGTGGTGTCATGAACAGCTTCAAATACTTTGAGATGTCTTGCAACACAAGAAAATAAATTGCCAATACTTCCATCATTTAGAATTATTCTGACCATCTGTGCTTTATGCACCTTTCTTAAGAACAAAAAATATTATTTTCAGCATGGGCTGTGCTTTTAGTTTATGTGTAAAGCAGATAAAGAGAGAAGCTAGCTAGAGGCAAAATCAGAGTTTAGACTGGCTGTTCATAAGGGCGACCTTCTCTTAAAATTCCCTTTTTTTCACCCTGCACATCACAGAGATTTAGAGCCCTCATTGACTGCAGAAAACACAGCTCCAGGAGGACAAAGGATGATATATTCTCAACGAGTGTGTAAAGTATAGTAGTTCTAAAGACAATAAATGCAAGGTCGCATTAGGGCACAACAGTTAATTACCCACTTCATTACTGTCAAGGTTAATACAGTATTTGAGCACAGGAGCTGTTTCTCATCTGCTGCTGGAAGCAAGGCAGGACAGCCTCAGCGGCAGGCAGATCCATTACAGCTTATCAGGGCAGCACAGGCGCTGCAGAGCCCCATGAAGGATGGCTGCTGTCACCAGGGAGCCATGGGACACACGGGGAGCTGGGCCCGGCCCCAGCCTGGGCACTGCACCCACAGGGGAGCTGGGCCCAGCCCCAAACACGGGCACTGCACCCACAGGGACACACAGGGAGCTGAGCCCAGCCCCAAACACGGGCACTGCACCCACAGGGACACACG